TTTGTTCTCGTCTCTCTCTCTCTCTCTCTCTCTCTCTCTCTCTGCTCCCTCTTCTTCTTCTCTCTCTTTTTACCATCTTCTATGTTTGCGTTGCGCTGTCGCACGATCGAGATAAATGTGCCTGAAAGAAACTTCGGCTGCTTGAGGACTCTCGAGCCCCCCCTCCCTCTCTCCTCCCGTGTGCGCAGAGACATGCCGTCACGTTTTGCAACTCGCGAATCAAATCTTGCATCGAAATGCTTGGCAGAATCTCATCATGAAAGGGTCACCTTTCGGAGCAGGGATCTGTCTCTAGTAAAATTTCATTATTAATATCACAGTAAGCTAGTAATGTAGCTCTACAGTGATATGAATAATATTACAAGTTTCCAGGGCTTCCAAGGGTTTGTTCATAAATTTAATAATAATAAATCGTAATATTAAGATCGAAAATTAAAATTATGGTAATTAATATTTAATTTAAAAATGTCAATGTGCATGTCCTTAATGTTTGGTTGTCAAAATATTTTTAATAATGTTCCTATATATTTATTTATTTATTTTAAATATATCTCGGTAGTATTATTTGAAAAGAAAAATATGCAAAATATAGAGATATAAACATTATAATAAATGACGTATCGCTTCTATCTGATACTGCAAATATTAAGTTTTATATCTTTTACACTTGCGCATGTCGGGTACTCGTTCGCGGATTCCATTAATCTCAAACGGATTAAATGAAAATTCACGAAACAAAATACATTCCAATTTCGCGCGATGACATTCGCCGAATTTTCGATACGAACGATTATCGTCGTCCCTGCTCCACATTGGAGAGCACGTTCCCTACTGTTACATTTTACAGGATATTTTAACGCGGCAGATTTATGTTACGCTTAGGCTTTAACGGGACAGATTTACATTACATTTCCGTGGCGTAAATTTATCCATTACGTCATATTTAAAAGGAACGTGACACGCTAATAATAATCAATTAAACGGCAGCATCCGAGAGAAATTCTTTATTTCCAATCGCACATCAGAGACTCCTAGAAATACGACAAAGGATGAACGTGGTCGATCATCAAATTGCCAAACTCGAACGAATCCGTGATAAATTATCTCGCAAAGCATTACTTTAAATCTTTATCTTCGTCTACTTCATCACGCTTACCTCCGTTTCTCTACTAGACTGGAAGTCAAAATCGTGTCGATATATGTATATATATATATAAAACAAGTCTGCACGAGTGTCGGAAAACGCTCGTCACGATCACACCGGTCGAATGCAGAACGATCGAATTCGCGGATCACTCACTCGGGGGAGAGACACACCTCCTATTGTTTCATCCCGTACGGAAAGGGAGCGACAGACTCGCGACACCATCGTCTCTTAACCATTCGAAAACCGTCACATTTTCCCGCTGATCGTACAAATTCCCGCGCGCGCGCGCGCGC